GTGGCGACGATAAGAGATCGATCCAAAAGATCGATCCAATTTTATCCTTTTAACGTTCAATTTCTACCGGCGCCCAAAAGATGGCGCTCACACAATTTTTTTCTCAAAATTTTTATAATCGAACACTTTTCGAGTAACATACCATCTTAAAGAGGAATGTTGCAGCTCCAATTTAAGGTATAAACCGTTTCCTAACTCCTAAAACTAAGGTCAAGGCCATATTTTAAAAATTATTAATTTTTGTAAATTTTATATTAAGTTAAAATTAGACATATTACTTTTTAATCTATTTCTCAAAATTTTTATAATCAAAGATATATAAGATTACACACCATTTTAAAAAGGACAGTTTCATCTCCAATTTAAGATATGAATCATTTCTTAATTCCTAAAACTATGCTCAAGGCGATGTTTTAAAAATTAGCAATTTTTATTAAATTTAGGTTATGTTAAAAATTGACATATTAGTTTTTAATTTTTTTCTCAAAATTTTTATAATCGAACACATTTCGAGTAACATACCATCTTAAAGAGGAATGTTGCAGCTCCAATTTAAGGTATAAATCGTTTCATCACTCTTAAAAGTAAGGTCAAGGCGATATTTTAAAAATTATTAATTTTTGTAAATTTTATATTAAGTTAAAATTAGACATATTACTTTTTAATCGATTTCTCAAAATTTTTATAATCAAAGATATATAAGATTACACACCATTTTAAAAAGGACAGTTTCATCTCCAATTTAAGATATGAATCATTTCTTAATTCCTAAAGCTATGCTCAAAGCGATGTTTTAAAAATTAGCAATTTTTATTAAATTTAGGTTATGTTAAAAATTGACATATTAGTTTTTAATTTTTTTCTCAAAATTTTTATAATCGAACACATTTCGAGTAACATACCATCTTAAAGAGGAATGTTGCAGCTCCAATTTAAGGTATAAATCGTTTCATAACTCCTAAAACTAAGGTCAAGGCGATATTTTAAAAATTATTAATTTTTGTAAATTTTATATTAAGTTAAAATTAGACATATTACTTTTTAATCTATTTCTCAAAATTTTTATAATCAAAGACATATAAGATTATACACCATTTTAAAAAGGACAGTTTCATCTTCAATTTAAGATATAAATCATTTCTTAATTCCTAAAACTATGCTCCAGGCGATGTTTTAAAAATTAGCAATTTTTATTAAATTTAGGTTATATTAAAAATTGACATATTAGTTTTTAATTTTTTTCTCAAAATTTTTATAATCGAACACATTTCGAGTAACCATCTTAAAGAGGAATGTTGCAGCTCCAATTTAAGGTATAAATCGTTTCTTAACTCCTAAAACTAAGGTCAAGGCGATATTTTAAAAATTATTAATTTTTGTAAATTTTATATTAAGTTAAAATTAGACATATTACTTTTTAATCTATTTCTCAAAATTTTTATAATCAAAGATATAAAAGATTACACACCATTTTAAAAAGGACAGTTTCATCTCCAATTTAAGATATGAATCATTTCTTAATTCCTAAAACTATGCTCAAGGCGATGTTTTAAAAATTAGCAATTTTTATTAAATTTAGGTTATGTTAAAAATTGACATATTAGTTTTTAATTTTTTTCTCAAAATTTTTATAATCGAACACATTTCGAGTAACATACCATCTTAAAGAGGAATGTTGCAGCTCCAATTTAAGGTATAAATCGTTTCATCACTCTTAAAACTAAGGTCAAGGCGATATTTTAAAAATTATTAATTTTTGTAAATTTTATATTGTTAAAATTAGACATAGGTATTATCTTTTAATTTTTTTCTCAAAATTTTTATAATCAAAGACACACTGTCTTAAAGAGGAAAGTTTCAGTTACAATTTAGATACAAATCCCTTACTAATTCCTAAAAGTAAGGTCAAGGCGATGTTTTCAAATGTTATTAATTTTAAATTAAATTTAAAAATTCATATTTTAGTTAATACGTTTGTCTTAGAGCGAAATCACTGAAACGCATAAAGTGAACATCTCCAAATCGGATTTTCACAAATCCTCAACTTTGGATAAGATCTCATTTCTTAAGAAACTTTTAAATTTCATTAGGAATTTATTAAAACCAAGCTTTTGCAATATGCAAATGTCACGGTCTGGTTCTATTCGACAACCGACGGTCATCAATTTCAGAACCGGAAGCGGTTTTTGAACCGAAAATTAATCGACGTCCTGCCCGAGGACCAATTACGTGCCCAGAGGCGTAGCCCCCAAAATTAAATTAACCCATCCCGTGGCGGCCGCGCATTTTTAACCCCTCGTTCCAGCGCAATTACAACTACTTCACATTTGTCTCGCTAAAAACCAAAAAAAATGTTATTTGTTAAAGTTGAGATCGCAATTAATTGCATATAATTTCTTAAAATGCACCCTAATAGAGTAAGATGTAAAGAAAACGCTTTTACAAAGATCGTATCCGCACTGAAACCTGTCGAGGGTTCGTATGGTGGTGATTAATTGATCACTCTCTCAGGGAATTTGAGCCGGTTCTCGACAGTTGACAGGTTTGGATTGTCGCCTAGAGGCACTGCCACCAATTTTCAGCCCTGGTTTTGATTGAACGATTTCCCCAACCCTTTCAATATTTCTTTTCATTTCATTTTAATTTAGAATAAATAAAATGTGGAAAAACCTTTAAAATAAAACTTTCAAATAAATCCGGAAAATTGAAAGAGGAAAATGGTTGTAAGCGCCATCTATTTTTAAAGCGGAGAAATTCGTTCATGAAAAGTGAAGAAAACGCAATGAAAAGAGCGCCATCTTTGAAAGTTTTACCAAAAAATTGTTTTGTTTATTAAAGTTTTCGTTATTTCGTGATTTTCCATTCACAAAAACGTTTCTAATTCCACTTTTTAATTAGTTGAAAAACAAATTAATTGGTTATGCGTAGCTTTACATAAAAATGGTTTTAAAACATCAATTTTTATTATAACCAGTAATTAAATCGTTATCGTCACAACATAAATGATCAATCAAAAATAAAAAGTAATGTGGCTTTTTTATTGTGGTTTAATTATTATTTAGTTTAACGTTGCGGTTTCCTCTTAACAGTTCGACTGAATTATTGAGAAAAATGGGAGTGAGAAGTTGAAGCTTCATGCGCACTCGATTTGACTTGGTTTTCAGTGATCTTGCGTAGAATTCGGTCCCGGGACTATCGATTTTCCTGAAAACCGTTCCGGTGCCATTTTGTTGTGATCCGGTGTCCTCCGATTGTGTCTGTCCCTCATAGCGATCACTAAATACTCCGGTGGGGAGCATGCAGAGGAATTCCTGAATTTTCAGGCGAACACAATTTTCAGTAGTAGCGAAAGAGTATTTCAACAAAACGGTAAGTCTATCAGATTTTTATTAAAATTCTTTTATTTTTTTTAACAACAATGTTATGGTTATCAATTATGATTAGTGTTGAAATTAAAATTAACGTTAAATATAAAATTATAAAATTAGTAAATTAAAAATTGTTTTAATTAATTTAATAAATGCTAAATTTACATTGATTTAAACGTTTTAAAGTTTATCTAGAACGTTTTAGACTTAAGAGGGATGAATCAATAACAAGAATTGTTATAATTACTTAAATTGAGTTAAAACTAAAATTATTTAAATCGAAACTTATTTTTTTAATGATGATATTTTTTTATTGTTGATTAGAAGAGGCTAAAATATTTATTAATAAGACATTAAAAAGTATTTAAGTAACAACCGCAAATAAAATCAAAGATTTCCAAAAATAGAGAGACAATCGATTTCCTTGTATCGTTTCGGACGACATTCTAAAAGATTTCAGCCCGTGTAAAGATTTTAATGTTTCAAATTCTCATCGCTTTAATTTCACGCATTTTCTTCCTCTTTTACTTACTCCACATTAAAATGTCTCTTTTACGTTACTTATTTTATCAGAAATAATTTAATCTCGCTTTAAAATTTTTTCTTCTCGTTTTTTATTGGGTCTATTCAAACATTTTTTTCTGCATTATTTATGAAAATTAAGAAATCATCTTTGTAGGGGTGATTTAAAATTGAATAACAATTTTAACACAATTTTCAATTTTATGATATCTCAATTAGTTTTTGAGATATGAAGTTTTAAAGATAAACTTTTGTCATGGTGGTATTATTGCAGGATTGGATCAAAATCTTTATTTCTAGGTTATGTATCGTAATGAAAAAACCAAATATGGGGGGTTAATTTGATATCGAATTACAATTCTTATGTAATAAGCCGTTATTTAATATCTCAATTCGTTGTTGAGATATCAGTTTTTAAAGTTAAAGTAAAAAATCTTCAAAGTAACAATCTTCTTAAAGTAAAAAAAGTGTGATAATAAAGAAACCAAATATGGGGGAATAACTTGACATTGAACGACAATTCTTACGCAATAAATCGTTATTTGCTATTTCTAGTAGATTATGAGATATCATCTTTTAAAGATGATCTAAAATCTTGATTTAAATTGGTGTCATCAAATTTAGTATTTAGTTTTAGATACTTGATATATTTATTTAAATATCTCTGGGAATTATTAAAAATTATGTCAGCAAACGATTCCATAATCATAGAAAATGTTTTGGAACCTCTAAACATTTCTGGATATCCAAGAAAATACTCACAAATTTTATATTATCTCACAAGTAAATATTTGTCATCGTATATAGCTGGCAAAGGATATTGCCAGTAAGACTAAATATTGACTGTTGAAGACTAAATATTTCTGACAGAATAGTAGAAACTGGTTGCAGAAGGGACCAAGTACTGCTAATGTAACTAGATACTTCTTGCAGAAGAATACTGTTAACAGAATTTCTGTTAATGACTAGACAATGCTGGCACACTGTTCTGAGAAGAATTGCTAATCGAAGACTAGATACTGTTAGGAGATACAAAACTAGAAGCTACAAGCAGAAGGATAGATACTACTATTCAAAGATTGTAACCTCCTGATAAAGGACCAGACACTGTTGGCAGAAGAATAGATACCGCTTGCAGAAGATTACTGCTAGTAGAAAAGTAAATGCTGCTGGTAGTACAATACAAACTGATTTCAGCAAACTACACACTGATAAGACAAGATTAGATACTACTTATAGAAGACTAGATACTGGTACTTAAAGGCTAGATATAGCTGGCAGAAGAATATATACATTACATTACATTACATAGAATACATATCGGGTAGGCGGACCAACCAACCTTGCACCGCGACCCTAAGGATCTATTGTACCCCGATAGATATCGTTATCAAATTTCACCGTGCAGTCCAATGCTCTTAACGAACATTAATACCTTGCTCGGCGAAAGGTCATTCAGATCTTTTGAGGAGATAAACTGCGACCCAAAAATCGAGAATCTGATACGGTTAACGGCAGGGCAGTGGCATAAAACATGCTCAACCGTCTCTGCTTCCTCCGCACATAGTCGGCATTCAACATCGTCGGCTAAACCCAACAAGTTGAGGTGTGCTTTTAATCGGCAGTGCCCAGTAAAAACACCCATTAGAACTTTTATGCTACTACGGGCAAGTCCTAAAATATTCCCGGGTTTGACAGTGGCGATGTTAATAAACACCTTAGCATGTCTCATTCCAGGAGAACTGGTCCACAATAGGCGAAGTCTCTCTTCAGCCCACAGTCCAATCCTACATTTGGCCATCGCAAATGATACACCAACTGCTGGTTCCGGCCCCACAAACGCTTCAGCGTTGCCATCTCGTGCTAGCTTATCTGCCGCTTCATTGCCAGCAACCCCAGAGTGACCCGGGACCCAGATCAGAGAGACTCTGTTATCACAACTCAGTGTGTTTAATGTTCTCTTACAATCATTAACCAGAGCCGACACCGTTTTCACGGCTTGCAGCGCCTGGAGAGCGGCTTGACTGTCTGAGAAGATTCGTACTGTCATGTTCTTCACCCCTCTTTCAAGAAGGATTTTAGCACCCATGTCAATAGCAAATACTTCCGCCTGGAATACAGTACAGTACATACCCAGGCTGTAGGCTTGCTTAATTCGAGTTGTCTGGCAGTGTGGTGAGGCCGCCTTTGAACGGTCTCGACCTTTGGTAATACCGCTGCCACCAGAAACAGTATTTCGCGCTTCCTAATTCTTAGTTTGAAGGACCCCTAATTGATCCTAGTGAATCAATCAAAACTAAATGACAAGCGCGCGGTCACTATTTCAGAACCGTGGGTTCTTGCACTAAGGCTCTGTCAGGAAAAGGGGAAAATCAAAAAACAAGTGTTCTAACCACACTTANACTCTCTGCTTATACATCTCTCACAATTTCTCTTATTGTTGTTTGGCCAAGTAAATATTCAAAATGCAAAGAGGCGAAGCTGTTGCCTGTTGCCAAATAGCTGTAAGAAACAATGTTATTATGGTAAACTTGATCTTGAACTGCAGTCAGTAAGATGTTAAAACTCGTATAACTCATTCTATAGTAACTGAAGAATTTCATGGGGTGGTCCTTCAATGTTTCAAACAGTTTATAAAATTGACCATTAAACAGTCGCTGACTAATGAGGAGATGAACCCAAAAACGTCTGTTCTTCCTTTTTCTTCTTTTGATAATCAACGCACAGACACATGCTACATCAGTAGCGTCCATGTTGAAATTTAAGACTGCAGCAACTATCTAGTCGATAGTGCGCTGAGCGGAAATCTAATGGCAACTTTTTAATCGAGCGATTTTTAAGTTGGTCAACAATAAAGTCGCGAGTGCGCGCCTGGCCTAATACAACAGTTGACACTGTTAATGGAAGAGTAAAAAGATCTTAGTTAATGGAAGAATTTACTTTATTAACTCATATACTACACACATTTCAAATTTATCTCATACTTTCTTATCTACAATATCTTTCATGCAATTCTAATTTAAATTCAACTTTTCAAGTCAAAACAATTTAGAAATTGAGTAACAATTTTAAAAGAAACTCAAATTTATGATATGTCGATTAAATTAGTTATAAAATTTTAATGCAATTTAGGGTTGATGTAAATTAATTATTTTTTTTAATTATTTTTTTTTTATTTTCTTATCACATAAACGTGGATAATCAGCGGAAGGCCAACAACGTTATCGCAACTTAAAAAAAAAGCCTTAACATACCGAGCCCGTATAATTATTAATTAACATTTTTACCCATTCATTTCGTGTTTAGTGAAATGGCACCGCCTCTTGCGAATCTCGTCAAAAGAGAAGCGACGGCCGATGCAACCACAAAACCGGAAAACCTTACGGAAAACAATCAAGAAGTCGAACCAACTTTCACAACACCGTGGACGTTCGCAAAACAACACCATGAAACTACAACAACGCAGTTTATACCGACACCAAAAACGCCAGAATTAGGTTGGATTTGTTTTTAATTTTGAGTTAAATGATTCTTATGGATTTATTTTGATTGATTGATGTAGAAGAAGCTTTAGAGACAACAACAACAGCTTCGTCCACTACAACAGCGAAAAGTTTGTTGAATAAAGCAACCGAAGAAGTGAGTGCTGAAACTGGATTACCGATATGGGCGATTTACACCATAGCGATTTGTAAGAATTTTTTATGGGATTACTTTATTAAGGTTTAAGGTGTGATTTGATGTCTTTCAGTGATAATAGCGATCGTGTTGGGAATTTGCTTCTGTTGCATTCGGCGATGCTTCAGGAAGAGACGCGCAAAGGGCGACAAGAAAATGGGAAAAGGAGTCGACCTGAAATCGGTACAATTACTTGGATCTTCCTACAAGGAGAAGGTAGTTCTCAAAAATCTTGTTTAAGTTCTTGGCTTCTTTTTATTATGCAGGTCCAACCGGATATGGATGAGTTAACCGAAAATGCCGAGGAACCAGACGAAGGTGAAAAACCTGAAGTCCAAAAATTGGGTAAACTCCAATACAAGGTAAAAATAAAAAATTCAAAAAAAAAAGAAATAAGCTTTTTGTGAAATGAGTCGATGTTTGTGTCCTCGATGTTTTCAACTTAACTTTTTGAATTTGTTTTTAATTATTTGTGTGTATTTAAAAAAAAATTTAGCTCGAATACGACTTCAATCAAAATAGTTTATCGGTCACGGTTATTCAAGCGGAAGAACTTCCTGCGCTGGATATGGGGGGGACCTCAGATCCTTACGTTAAAGTCTACTTACTTCCGGATAAAAAGAAAAAATTCGAAACTAAAGTTCATCGTAAAACACTTAATCCAGTTTTCAACGAAACTTTTGTATTCAAGGTAAATAACCAAACGAAAAGTTACCGTAAGAAGATTATTTTAATAAATTTTTATTATTTAGCAAATTCCTTACGCGGACGCCATGAATAAAACGTTAGTTTTCGCGATTTTTGATTTCGATCGGTTCTCAAAGCACGATCAAATCGGTGAGGTGAAGGTTCCGCTTTGTCAAATCGATTTGGCTCAAACGATAGAGGAATGGCGTGAATTGCAGAGCGTCGAAGGCGAAGGTGGTCAGGTGATATCACGATTAATTTAATTAATTCATTTTCTTTATCTTATTATTATTATTATTAAAAAAAATTTTTATCGACTCCCCACATTTTGAAAAAAGTCTCGAGAATAGTCCGGTCATGCTTAGAAGCGAAGACGCTGTTGTCACACCCAGTTCCGACCATTGGATGCTTGCACAGGTTTTTGCATTTGAGCACTTTGTTATTATTATTATTATTAATTATTATTATTACAACTACTCTTTTTCGCAATTTGTTTTAGAAAACGATAAAAGTTTCAGAAATTTATTGGGGTTAAATCTTTTCAATTCAAATTCCCGATTACATCAAAAAAAAACTTCTTTCATTCTTTTAATTATTTCTTTATTTTCTTTCGAACAATAACAATAACCAACAAAATAAAAGTTCTTCAGCAAGATCCACGGCACACACTACCAGAAGCATTACGGTGACCGAGACTATAATTTAAAAAAAAATAATCACCTACTATTAATGCCAAAAGTCAAAGAATTTTTAAGAAATTTAGAGATCGATATCTTCACAATTGTTTGATGAAAAAAATAGCGGAAAGATGACCAATTTTGACAATTTCTTCTTTTGAGCCAATGGCTCTTGTAGCTGTTTGTACTACTTCGTAACCTCCATTGCAGATCCTCCAAGATTTCATTTTAATGATTAGAAAAGATCATGAAAAGAATTAATTTTATTATAATTATCATTTATTTAATTAACACTAGATCTAGAACTAGAAACATTCGGGTTTTAGTTTTAACATTAGGTTCTAGTTCTAGGTCTAGAGTTAGTTATACTTTTACACTAGCACTATCACTAGAACTAACACAAGACCTAGAACTAGAATCATTCGGATTTAGCCGTCTTGAGAGACGTGCGGCTAAACCCGAACAATTCTAGTTCTAGGTCTTGTGTTAGTTCTAGTGCAAAACTACAACTAACACTAGACCTAGTACTAAAAACATTCTGGTTTAGCCGTACGCCTTTTAAGACGCCTAAACCCGACTGCTTGGCAACAAATTCTGAATTCATTCCATCGTTTTACATTAAGGCAAGATGTTTAAAGTAAGTCATTAAATCATGGATACTCTAAGTGTGGCAGAAAATGGCGAAATGATTTTTATTTATGGAGAAAGTGGCAGAAAAGTTGCTGATATAGCTCTCCCAAGCAATCATTGTCCCTGGGGAATTTGACATGTCGCTGCAGGTACATTCAGAGGCAAAAGTTACATTACATACAATTACATTCAGATGTTAACCTGTGAGAGACGTAGATCCTTTCGTTTATTAACCATTTTATTTAAAATCCTTCATAACTGCACCCNTTTACACTAGCACTATCACTAGAACTAACACAAGACCTAGAACTAGAATCATTCGGATTTAGCCGTCTTGAGAGACGTGCGGCTAAACCCGAACGATTCTAGTTCTATGTCTTGTATTAGTTCTAGTGCAAAACTACAACTAACACTAGACCTAGTACTAGAAACATTCTTTTTTAGCCGTATGCCTTTTAAGACGGCTAAACCCGCTAAAAATTCTGAATTCATTCCATCGTTTTACATTAAGGCAAGGTGTTTAAAGTGAGTCATTAAATCATGGATACTCTAAGTGTGGCAGAAAATGGCGAAATGATTTTTATTTATGGAGAAAGTGGCAGAAAAGTTGCTGATATAAGCTCTCCCAAGCAATCATTGTCCCTGGGGAATTTGACATGTCGCTGGAGGTACATTCAGAGGCAAAAGTATATGGGCGGTAAATTAGATTTCTTTTTTTGCGTTTGATACAATGAATATAAATTAAGTTTTCACTTGCATTATACAGGGTGGTCCGTTACTAATGGGACACAGAGCAACAGTGAATTCCTTACATATAATTATTACGATTTAACCCAATTTATCTTAGTCCAA